GGGGGGCAGCGCAGGGGGGATTTTTTTTTTAGGGGTGGGGAGGGGTCACTCACCCCGTCATTTAACACCCTCACGGCTTTCTGGGGTGCAGCCACTCCCTCAGAGTCCTCTAAAGCCCTCCAGCCGCCTGTCCCCCCTTCGAGGGGGGCACCCCCCACTGAGAAATTTGGGAGGACGATGAGTTTTTTGGGGTGCTCGCCCCCACTCCGAAAAACGTGTGTCCCCTAAAAAGCGTGTTCACTAAGTGCAAAACACCACACCCCCCTCGGGCTTTGCACCCCCTTTCCCACGGGGGTCCTGAGTGGGTTCCAACATCCCCACGCACCTCATCCATCACATTTTTGGGGATGGATGGGGGGGTGCGGCACAACCGGGACACCCCCCGCATCCCCCAGCCCCAAAAGCGGGAGGGTACAGGCAGAACCTGCCCACCACCCACCCCCAATGTGCACCCACATCCCGCTCTGCCTCCATCACCTGACGCCGCACGCGTCCCTCCATCCCATTGGCAGAACCGGGAGGCTTTTCCTTCCTCCCCCTTTTTCTCCCAGCTCCTTGGATATCTATTTTTCCCTTTTTTTTTTTTTTTTCCCCCTCTTCTCTCCCTCCTCTGGAGGGTGTTTGCTATTTCCGAGCTGGCTGGGAGGATCCCAGTCGCATCAGCCGCAGGCAGCGACGCGGCACCGCCGGGTACCACCGCGATCCCACCGGCATCCTCCGTCCTTCCCGCCTGGATCAGCCCCGCCGGGGCTCCCTGTCCTGCCGCCCCTTCCATTCTCTCACCCTGCCGCTCCACCGGCATCCCACCGCGTCCCGGCAGCCCCCCGGCACGGCCAGGTAAGGGCCCCACCGGCACCGGGACACCCGGAGCAGCCGCCAGATCCCGGTGGCGTCGGGACAACATCCCGATGGCATCGCTGAGGGATGCCCGGGGGGCACAGGGATATGGGGGGCAGGTGGGGCGTGGGGCCATGGAAGGCTTGCTGAGGGCTTTTTGAGGGGCACGGGGTGTTGGGGACACGGGGACGCGGTGACACGATCCGGCTGGAGCAATCCCGGTGCGGAATTCCTGCGCCACCGCCGGGCACGGGAATGGGGCAGCGAGGTGGCACCTTGTCCCCAGCGCGGTGACCTTCTGCCGTGCCCGAGGGTTTGGCGGGGGGGCGGATTTGTTGGGTGACACCCTGCTTGGGGTGGCTGGGGGGTGTTCAG